CATGCACCCTTAAAGTTGACACACACACACACACACACACACACACATACACACACACACACACACACACATTCTGGTATGCACCCTTAAAGTTGGTTACTGCGTGCCAGAAACTGACGAATAATTACCGTTGTGACTTCGAATGGCACGCAGTAGCCAACCTAAAGTCGGACACGCTAACACATGCACAAGCAAACATGCATAACAAATACACACACACACACACAGACATATACAAAAAGACACACACACACACAAACACATACACACACATACACACGCACACACACACACACATTCTGGCATGCACCCTTAACGTTGGCTATTGCGTGCCAGAAACTGACGAATGATTACCGTTGTGACTTCAAATGGCACGCAGTAGCCAACCTGAAGTCGGACATGCTAACACATGCACAAACAAACACGCATAACAAATGCACACACACACACAAGCATATACAGACACACACACACATACACACACACACACACACATTCTGGCATGCACCCTTAAAGTTGGTTACTGCGTGCGAGAAACTGACGAATGATTACCGTTGCGACTTCGAATGGCACGCAACAGCCAACTTGGGAATATACACGCAGACACACGCACAGACCATTCATACACACACATCCATAGACATATACACAAAGACACACAGACATCCACATAGGTTCATACATAGACGCCACACACACACACACACACACGCACACACACATGTCGATGACGTCATTGTGCGTTTCCGCTGGCAGAGAGAAGAGGAAGAAAGACAAACCGTACGCATCATGTCGATGTCAGTAGCACAGGTGGAGGCTGCTCTTGCAGAGGTAATGAAGTATGCAAAGGAGGGCGTCCACTACAACGGTGACAGCGAGTTGTCTTTGCTTCAGGACAGGGTGCCGAGGTACTTCATAGTCGCTGTGGATGTGAGATCCACAATCATGGCAAACGACGAGGGCTGTGTCAAAGCACGAACACTCTTGCAACGCTTCAGAGAGTCACCACATGTACGTGTGGACAACGATGTGGAAGACAGTGCATACAGTCTAAAAGGAGTGGTCCAGTGGATCTGCAGCGAAGGGATGTACGAAGAAGAAGACGTGGACATGACAATGCGGCAGACAGGGGGGACATATACACCTGCGAACTTGGACAAGTTGCTGGACACTGTCGCACGGAATGGGGGAATGCTGGTTGATGGGTCGAAGGACGAGTTGAAGAGTGGTGCTGCAGAAATATTGGTGTTGTCCATAATGAAGGACATTACACAAACACCGCCAGAAGACTTTCAAGATGTTTCTGTCATTGTCGCAAATGGTATGGAATATATTCTGCTGGATCAACTTGTTGACTTCAGGAAAAAGAATGACGACGACAGGAACGTCATCCATGAGGCGTTGCACGAAGTGACAGAGTTTGCACTGCAGGGTCAAGATCTGATAGAATTTGCGCCAGCAAGAACAAAAGTTAACATCATATTTGGCAGATCGTTGTCGAGGGAGTTGTTATCAGCTGGTTTGGAGCGGCTCGGTCATGCAAGCTGTGATGTCGAGAGACAAAGAGAAAGAGAAGAAGGGTGGAAGGTGATGGCCACGGAAACAAATTTAGCAATCATTCCAGACAACGGACAGACATCAGAAGCACAAGAATAAATAACCAGTATGGCAGTCGATGTGCCTCCCATGCAGACAGTAACGAGAGAGGAGTTGGTGTGTTGCGATATCTTCAATGCTTTCACGATGGAGAAAGAACAGTGTAATCGTGGATTTGAAGAGGCCGATTTGCCAAGTTGTTGTGCAGAGTACACAAACAGTGTAGAAGAAGAAGATGAAGAAGAGGATGAGGGGGCATCATCTTCTGACGTGGAAGTGAGCGGCAACGATGTCAGCAGCGACGAGGAAGACGAGGAACATGATGTATACTATGATTTGAAGGCTGTGGGTGGGTAAGTGACAAAAGGGTGGGCACATGCAATTCTGAGGTTGGTACGTACTTTTCCCGATCCGCACGAAGTGCTGCGTGTTGTGATGAAGGGGGCAACACCAGATGGTGCATAATGAAATCATGCAACAAGGGGAAAAATTGATCACGTGTTGGCAAAGGATGGTTTGTTCTGGTCAATAGAGAGGTTGTGCTAGCAACGTCACTGACATGGGGAGTCAACCTGAGTTGCCTCATACACGGCGCAATGACGACAGCTTGGGGAGAGACATTGCACCCCGGCTTGTCAACAAGAGACACAATAGTTAGTGCTTGGCCACAGTAGCGACCGGAGACACACCCACACACCATGACAGACCATGTTAGACATCAGGGATGATGACAAACATGCATCCCTCAACCTGTACATCCCTCTATGTCTGCCTCAATTTCAACGACGGTCAGGTTCACTACTGCGTGCTATATCAGTGTCCACCGGTGCTGTTTATTGTCGTTTTGGCCCACACTAGTGAACCTCTCTCTCTCTCTCTCTATATATATATATATATACACACAGAGAGAGAGAGAGAGTTAGTTAGTCTGTATCATATGTCCACCGCAATCAGTCCTCACTACTGCGTGCCATATCAGTGTCCACCGCAGTCAGTCTTTCTCATATGTCGAGTTGCAGCTATATTAGAACCTCTACATCCATCTGTGGGTTACATTTAATGTTGCCTGTTGTTTACCTCTCCAAGTACATGCGGTTGACTACAACGTGCAGACACAGGACTGAACAATATTTCAATCATTTGATGATTGTTACGATGTTGCCTTTTGGAGTACGTGAGACACATCAGACCCCCTGCAATGACCAATGTGTGTATGTTGTGTTTTTTTTTGCATTCTCTGTAATTTAAATTCAAATGTAGTAGGTTGTGAAATGCTTTGGAAGTTTGTGCAGAGGTCGGCTACGTTGCCGAGGTGCAATCATTTTCATGCGGACATGGAAAACACATACCACATTCACAAACGTCGTGGATGGATAGTTACGAACTTGGCCAGCCGCAAAACCGTGGTGATGAATGTTGTGTCATTTATCGTGTACCATGCGTAAGTCGTTGCCTCTTCCTACACGACCATAGAACCTGTCATGGCATATAAATTATCGTGTCGCACGGTTGTTTACTAATCTTTGTCAATTGGGATCAGCGACACAGACCATTCGTACCAAGAACGACAATCAGTACTCCCTCTCTATCTCTTTCTCACAGAGAAGAGGATGTGCGACACTTACACAATATAACAAAATATGCTCTGCAACTTATAATTCTAACGACCTGAACCAATGTACAAAATGCTAATGAAAACACTGTCCGCACCGCTCTGTTTGTTTTTGGAATGCACTGCGTGCACAGAAAACGGACAGCGGTCCACGGGTGTGCGACTCTGGCAGGCCTTTCATGTCATTACGAACTTTGAACTCACATCGTGCGAGGGCATGCTCGGCCGTGGCGGACGAAAGAACACATGGCCAGGAGATGGATGTGGTCGATGACGCCGGAGCATCAAGTATAGGTGCAGTGAATCTCGTGAGCGATGAGAGCGATGACGTCGGGGCCCCCGAGAATGTAGACGGGGAGGTCGGGACATTCGAAGAGCAGCAACCGCAACCTGTCGAATTTTTTGACAGCTCTTGCAAGCTGGCGCCACTGATTTTCTCCGCCAGGGGCGGCGTCGGTATGTCGCAGAGCAACATAGATGCTCTCTTGTCACTTATCACAGACCCGAGATTCTGCACGATGTTTCGTAATAGTCGAGAGTGTTTGGCATGGGCAGAGAGTCTAGCAGACGGTGCTGGATGGAAAAAGTTTGATCTACGTTGTGACGATTGGCCACGGGATGCGCACGCCATCTTGTGGCATCGCAACTGGTGAAAGACATTTCTGTCGATTTTTCATATCGCATTACAGAAATGTGAGACGGTACCTTCTCTAGAAGTGTCTCCGCCGTCATAGCACCTCAGTATATCCGGCCCATGCAGCGGGGCGCTAAGTTATCACATCCAGTCGATCATTCGAGCGGAAGGCGTGGACGGGAGTGGTAATCCACGTTATGTTATCCCTCTTTCATTGTATTCCGACAATACACATACAGACGGTCGTGAAAAACAGACGGCGTACCCTTTGATGATGTCACTTGCCGACCACGCATCCGAAGCCACACTGCTGGCCTATCTTCCTGTGCTTCATCATCGTCCGTGTGACAAAGGATGAACTCTGCAGTCCACCGCATTCAGAAAGCGAAAGGCCATCGTTTTGCACAAGGCCCTTTTAGTGGTGTTGCAGTTTGCGAAGGAGGCATCTCATGACGGAATAATGATACCGACAACACGATTCGGGGACATAACTGTCCACCCTTTCCTCCTCAACTATATCCGGGACTACCCAGAACGATGTGCGATTGCAACTGTGAAGTTTGGTGTATGTCCGACATGCACCGTGTCCAAAAACGATTTTGATGTCATAGCCGATTTCACAGACTGCAGGAGATCATAGATGCTGGAAACAGACCTCACAGCAGATGTGTTCACCGCCGACGACATCGACGTTCGCCGTGCAGCGGAAGCACAAATGTCGAAGTTGAACATGCATAGGCATGTTCAACATAACGGCCTTTGGGGGTTCTACAGGGGCCCCAATGGTGACGATCCTCAACTAGACGACCACCTGGCATTGCAACCAGACCGTATGCACACAATCGAGCACGGCATATTCCTGCACATGATTGACGCATTCAGGACCGCAGCCTTTGAGAAGTTGCCGCACTTACCGCAAACAGAGATCCTGAAGGAACTAGATGCAAGGTTGCAAAGCGTTAGTGAGAGATGCACGCGAACATACCCCAACTTGTGTTGCCGGTGGCCACTGGCAGCGACTTTTTTTCGAGGGAGGGACGGTTCGAGGCGAAGCAAAACCGGTCTGTGATGACAGCGTGCATGTTCCTTATTTCTAATATTATACCGCGCTCGATAGACAAAGGCATTACCGTTTGTTTTGTGAAACTGATGGAAATGTACATACGAGTGTTTCGGTGTACAACACACAGTCGTGCTTCGCTCGATGAATGCGACGCTTTGATCACGGACTTCGTAACGACCATCAAAGGAAAATTGGAAAAATATCAACCATCAATATGAAAACTCCCCAAATTGCACGATCTCATGCATCTGACAACGTGTATTGAGCGATCCGGTGTCCCCGATACCTTCGCGACAGATGTTTGGGAGCATCACCACATGAAATTCTGCAAACAGCCATACCTGTCATCAAACAAGCGGAAAACTTCAACCCAGATGGTAAACCATGTGCGCCGGTCATTGGCATTGCGCGAAGAGATCGGGATCGTGAGGAAACGGAGTAAGAGAACGGTTGAGAACCGGTCGTCCGTGACAGACTGTATGACCACCGGAATCAACACCCTCGCACTACGCGACAGGGCAATGCTGCAACTGCGGTGGTTCGACATCGATGACGAGTACATACGCGAGGGAGAAGGCATTGACAACCATGCGTATAAGATACTCGAAGAGCTTCCTTGCAGATGCGATTTTCGAGCTGCGCTTACGACATACATGGTGGAGAATGGTTGTCAACCTCCTTCTGACGACCTGCTTATACACACACGGACACACCTGGCCATCGCTTGCGTACAGGACGGAACAAACAGGGGCGCACTTGTTCAAACTGCAAGAGCGTCGCCACAGTTCCAAGGGAGACTAGTGCACAGTGACGTCGCAATTAGAGCAGACACCGAATGCACATGGTTTGCATCAGTAGCCATGTTTTTTGTCGTGGACGCACCCGCGGACAATGGTAATATGGAACACAACTGCAGATTTGTGCAATGGTACAAAGAGGTCGACAGTGAATGACAACACATGACAGGTTGCAAGAAATTGAAATGAGAGAAGTTGAATGGACATCAGCACAGTAGCGTCGTTTCGACCGACATTATTGTAGACATAGTTCACATTGTTCCGCGCTTCTCTAAACCACGATGGGGATCGAAGCAGCATGCAAAACAGCATGAGGACTGCTTTCATTTGAACAAGTACATATTGTAGAAGAAACAAATGCAAACTAAGTTTCTATGTTTGATAATGGAGAGAGAGAGAGAGAGAGAGAGAGAGAGAGAGAGAGAGAGAGAGAGAGAGAGAGAGAGAGAGAGAGAGAGAGAGAGAGAGATTCTATCTGTCGTCGCCCCGGGACAGTCATGTTGTTTCTTCCGAAGTATAGGGAAACAAGAGAGGACATTCGTCTCTTTCTTTCCGTTATTTGTTGAGAAATATCATGTCAAATGTGGCCAAGCTTATGAAGCGGTGAAAACCACATGCGAGACGAAAGTGTCTCCAAAAGTTCACTATTGCGTGACATTTACGTGGTCAACAGTGATAGTCGTTTCAGTTTTGGCATGCAGTACCCAAACTCACTCTCTCTCCCTCTCTCTCTCTCTCTCTCTCTCTCTCTCTCTCTCTCTCTCTCTCTCTCTCTCTCTCTCTCTCCGAAGTATCTTATAAAAATGATTTGAAGTTGTTAAAAAAATTAACAAATCGTCTGTGTCATTCCAATTTAACCGACACGTGTGAACAGGAATAAAAACTTACGACGTCGCGCAACGTTCGGGAAAGAGCGACACAGAACACTGAATAACAGGGTGCAGGTAAGAGAAGCCGAGCGAGGATGACAGAGTCACAAAAAAGTAACACGTGTGCTGGCGGCGCGAAGTGCTCATATGTGGGTACGGAACCAGTCATCGGTCCAAGGATGGAAAACAAAGACGAACAGCACCGTAGAGTGGTGGCAAGTGAACCGTTGTTGCCATTGACCAGTGAGAGGTCAGCAAAGAGGTGACAGAAAATGTTGAGGGACCCTTGGTACTCGGAAATGTACGATATAATGACAGAGGGTGAAACAAAGTCTCCCCGGTTGATAATCAAAGCACTAAAGGAAAAGCGAAAGTCAGGGACATGACGAGAACGAGAGAAGAGCAGACTGACATTAATGATGACGACGAATTGACGGTTGGCTTGACCGTTGAGGTCATCAAAGGACGATCCGAGGAAAGTTCACTACTGCGGGCATTTGTTACATAAAGACCGGTGGCTTCACCAGTTGATTAGCCCGCAGTAGCCAACCTTCTCCCGGTGATGGCCGGGGACATGTTCCAAGGTTTTTTATTTTTATTTTTTTATTTTTTATTGTGACTATGCGAAACCGTGCCGCCTGACAATACGGATACAGTCATTCTGACGCACAAAGAGGTTGGTAACTTAAATGACGTCGCAGTATCAACTATAAGATCTTGGTTGTGCCTCTCTCTCTCTCTCTCTCTCTCTCTCTCTCTCTCTCAATGCGGCCATTACTCTTCAGAGGTGTATGGATCGACGCATGACATTGCTGACGCAGTTGTTGTTCGTATTCCACTTTGATGTATGTGGGGAAAAAAGGGTCATGGCTCCAAAGCCAAAATACGAGGATCTGTGCAGGTCTTTGAAGGCCGCGGGAAAGAAGGACAAGGGGAGGAAGAAATGCAAGGCTAATAAGAAAAAAGAAAGGAGAGAGCATCGCAGAAGCAGATCCCAGAATGCAAAACGGAGCGGACCAGCAGCCGCATAAACGGATCAAAAGTTTCTCTCTCATCAAGTCAGAGGGGGATTTCAAAACTGAAAGAACGCAATGAGTCACCCCCTGCGACTCCTGCCCCACGAGAACCGTCCACCCAAGGCCCCCGAGAAGAGGTCGCGGGAAGACGGAATGTCAAAGGTGCACTATAGGACAAAGAAGAGAATCACGTACAAAAAGGACAGAATGGTGGAGATGATCGATCTGAAAGCCTCGGACGATATGCACAGTGCGGCCCGAGAGGAAGCAGAAGAGGAACACGACCAGTCCATATCAGAAAAGTCTGACGGGGAGGAGAACGAGGCAACAAGTAACGATGGAGGTGACAGTCAAACTTGCGACGGACATTCTCGTGACACTCACGACGCTGATGACGAGGACGGCAGGAGCAGCGACGGCACAACGCAGAACGAGGGCGGTGACGGGGCAGGCGAAGACGACAGAAGCGCGGACGGAAGAGGGAGTTTCTCATCTCTGGGAAGAACGCGATGCACGAGGGAACCCGAAAGTGGCGGCGAGGGAGACGTAGCCGACGCGCCCTCCATTGACAGACAACTAGTGAGGCACAACAATGCAGTTAAAAAAGGTAAACAAAATGTGCTGAAGTTGCTCCTCTTGCACAATGATTAAGTGGTGACGGCGAAAAGTGATGACATTTCCTTATTGCGAGGATGTCCCTGTGATGAACTTACAGTTGAAACGGGCTGTCGAATTTGGCAGGTGCGAAAATGAGTGCGAAATGCGGAGTTCTTAATATTATCCTGTGCGTTGTAATGTGTGTCTTCCAGCAGATGGCAAGAACTCGCAAAGAAAAGTGTGCGCGAGCAGGGGAGGACAACAACAAGGCAATCAAGAAAGCGGCGTATTCTCGAAGAAAATGAAGGACAGACTGTTCCGGGCGGTCGCAAAAGCCTTTGTGTTCTCAGCAGCAAAGGACGCAACTTTGTACCCAACAGAGGATGGATTTTTCACGGCGCTGCAAACAACGGCCAAACTGATAGGCGAGAACGCCGAGGAAGGACTGCGATCACACATAGCGGAGTGCGGGATTCGAGCAGTCATAGGGGAGTGCAACAGAATGATGACAACCGTGCGTGGAAAGATAATATGGCAACTGAAACATTGGTTCTGGGCTGAAAAAGGGATCCCGCTTGTACGATCGCAGCAAACAGATCACCAGCTCCCTACTCGCAACAAGATGTGAGCAGAGATGAAGGGGAACAAAACGTGGAGACGGAGCGGCAACGATCCTTGGGGCGCCCCACCCTTCAAGACGGCACTCACCAAGGTTTTCCAGATGAGGAGGGACGACGTAAACCTTGGCGTGACCCTGCAGCAACTGGCTTTTGCAGAGATGGTTCTGCAATGTGAAATCAAGCAGACAACAAAGACCACCAGAGCGGCGGAGCAGATAGGAAAATTGGTCTCTATAAAGCAGGACATCGCATCATCTGTCCGCAGCCGCGATACAGTCATGAGTTTTTTGATCTTCAAGCTGGACCGTGCCGTATCTGTTGCTGAGAAGGCTGCTGCGCTATTTTGAGCTGGCGTGCCCTCTGTCCACAGGAGTGGGCCACACAACACAACAATAATGGATGACGATTTCGACCTGGAGTTCATTCCACCGCTGCATGAGAGAAGCAGAGACGGGGAGAGGGGTACAGAAAGTCTGTGCGCCAGACCTTGAACAGCGGGGGGTGGGGTAGTGGGGGAGGTGGTTAACAAAATAGTGTGAATCAGAAGGTTCATTATGGAATCTGTGAATCAGAAGGTTCATTACACAAGGTCACGGTCATTCCATGAGAGAGAGAGAGAGAGAGAGAGAGAGAGAGAGAGAGAGAGAGAGAG